TCCCAGTGTGGGTGGTAGTTCCCAGCATGCTGGGCAGCGTGCTGCTGCACTCCAGCATGGGTAGCGGGGAGCTCAGTGTCATGGCAGCCAGAGCAGACCTGCTTCTCTGTCCCAGGCTGATCCATCCCCACACTCCAATTAGAGCCATCAGTAGATGAAGATCAATAAGCACACCCAGGAGAACATTTGGAACCCCTAAAGGGTTGCCCAGGTAAACTGTGCAGAACCCCATGATGATTTATCTATCAGACAAAGGCAGTTAGGAATGAAAGAAAGGTCCCAAATCTATTTTCAGTTGAGGCTGGGTCTTTGTAACAAAAATGCTTAGCTAGTGATTTGAGATTACTTAACCATTGCTCTAGCATGGTAAAGGGATCTTTAAAAAGCCCTAATAATTCTTACTATTACAAAGCACTGGTTGCCAGCAGATCTCAAACTGCCTTACAAGCTGACAGAAAAGAAATAGTTTGAGTTGCTAGAGCCTTCAGTGGCAGAAACAACTTGTTACACCAATGTAATGAGCCACAGCTCTTCAAACATACTTTAAAGTGCTTTTTCAAGATCAGTGATGTTTATTACAAGAAAAAGGACGTAGAATTCTTGATCATCTGGCAGGTCACTGGTGGGCTTAAGCAAAGCAGGTCTTGGTTCCCAAACCAGTGCTCTGCCCTCCATGCATAACACTCTTCTCCATGGCTCCCTCTTACAAAGTGCAGTATTTGTGTTTGTGTTTGAAAACAAAACAAGACCACAAAAAAACCCCCAAAAACTTATGGGCCTAGCATGTCGCATGTCCTGGCCAAGGTATGTGTCTCATCTTGCTGCTTCACATCCAGTCTAATGGCTCCACTAAGTGCAAAGTGTTTGTCTAAGAGCTTGCCCCAGTAAGGCCTGGTGAAACAGTTGCTGCTTGGTCTGAGCTGTGCAGACTGTTGGTTTCTGATGTGATGTGCTGATTGTCAGGAGGACAAGGCAGAAGAACTGGTATCACTACTGGAAATGCAGATGAGGTACTCAACAGTGGGCCAGTGACCACTGTTATCTCCTGGTGCTTCTGTCAGTTCTTCCCAGTGCAATGTCCACAAGTACTTTGTCTGTGCAGCCATAATTCTATGTGTTTTCTGTCCCTTCAGGATTTTCAGAAGTCAAGGCCAGGCTGCGTCCCTGCTGTCCGCAAAGCCTTCCAACAGATTAAGGAACTGTTCCTGAGTGGAGGTAGGAGATGATAGCCCTGCAGATGGCATCCCAGGGACTGGCAGCAGGCAGTCACAGCCATGTGGAAAAGAGCTGATACAGCTTTACTTCAGTTAGGTCTTCAATTAGTTCCACTAAATCAGTGCAAATGCCCACCTGGCTGCCTCTTCCTGCTTGATTTTTGATTTAATGAACATTTTCAGTCAGCATTGAAATTCGTAACTGACACAAAAATAAAAATATCAATGTGAGGGCTTGTGCAGTGTTAATGAAATTGTCTTTTCTGCACCAAAGTGCAAAAATACCTGCAGGTGCAAAACACCTGCATTTTATGCTGCTAAAGCCTCGTGTTTCATTAGATACTTGACCTCAGCACTCACGCTGTTGAGAACTGTTCAGGTGGGTATGACGACTGCATGGCTCAGCTACTGGACAATCTGAGAAATATTTGGAAGGTAATTTAGGTCTTGAAGCAGCCATCACGGTCTCTTTCATATCCATTTGGATAGTTAGGTGAAGACAAGGACAGAGGCTGGTGAAGATCTCTGCAGTGTCTCCCAAGAAGGCCAGATGAGGTGTCACGGTCCAGTACAGCATCATCTGGGGGCCCTGCATGGTGTTGGAAGAGCTGTGGTGGGTTCTTGGCCTGTCTCAAGGCTTGGCTTGGTCTGTTGTGCTCATGTCAGGGGATGTGCCTCACTGCAGCAGCTAGTTCTGTAATTGTCCAGAGGAGCTGGGGTCCAAAACCGCATTTAGCTTTGGGTCACAGCAGGCAAAATGTTACTGTTACATAGCCAAGTTCTTCAAGGTCTTCAAGGGGCCTTGCTTTCTGCAGCTGGGTGGATAAAGTGGTCATGTTTAAGGCTTAGGCTCCCAAGTAAGTGTCCAGAGGCAAGTCCCAGGCTTCCAAGTAAAGACAGCCAAGCTCTGGTGGGCAGCTTGTAGAGTAGGATGGGGACTGCACCTCCAAAGTGTGAAGGGTGAAAATGAAGGGAGCAGCTTTCTCCAGCAGAAATGCAAAGGTATATGAGTGCATCTTGAAGGAATGTCTTCAAAGACAGATTTCCTGACTCCAGCTGGCCTCTCTGCATTACACTGAAGTTTGAAGGAACATCTCAGGAATCCTTTATGACTTTGTAAGGACCATTCTTGCTTGGCATTCCTTACTGCAGACCTGCATGGTAGCTTGCCTGGGGACACTGCCCTGCAGGACACAGCAGACCCCAGGTAGGGAGCCAGCAGGAGCAAGGAGGAGGCAGCCGGGCAGGGTATAGGGAAGGACAGGCTTGTACTAAGATGCTATTCTCACTGTGCCAGCTGGGACTGCTGCTGTCTCAATGAGTGCTGATTCCTTGGGCTCCTCTGGGAAGCTGCACAGGAAGAATATGCCTGAACATCCACGTGTTGTAAATTGAGATGTGATGTGTCTTTCCCACTAGAAACCTCATCTGTGTGTTACAGCATCCCCTTGCTCCTGAGTCTAACAAGATGCCGAAGCCTGGTATTATATTCCTCTGCTAAAGTTTGTGTCTTTCATTTTCCTTTCTTCTGCAGCCTATGATGAAATTAGCAGTAAAATGGCCACATGCAATAAGATCTCTAACAAGGAGGATGTTTACCAGCTTTTTGGATTTGCTAGAAATGCCTTCACCATGATGGCCATGATGGACTACCCTTACAAAACTGATTTCATGGGTCATCTCCCTGCCAATCCAGTGAAGGTGAGTACCAGGACACAGGAGAGTATTGGGGTTTGTAATGTGCATCTTGGTGACTGGAGTGCAAGGAGCTGCACAGCCTGGGGCAGTCAGGCACACACCATTGGTGATGGTGAGACGGGGAGGTGGTGGTGGTGGATGTTGCAGCCCTTCCGCTCTGACAGTTAATCTATGCTGTTTAAAGTTCTTTCTGATGGTGACTGCTGTGTTTGAAATACTCTGCATAAAGCTCATCAGGGAGCTTTCTGAAGGCACTCTTACCCTGCTCTGCCTTTATCTTAGACACAGAGGCCTGTGCAACCTTGTTGACTTCAGCTTTTAGACACTAAAGTTGCTTTGTTGTAGCCCACACACTTTCATAGATGTATGTTTCTTGGTGGGTGGAGATGGGCATCTAAAAATCGGGCTCCTTTCTAAGTATCACCAATTGATGTTGCAATTCTTGGTTTCTTCTGGTGTGCTGTTAGCCTCATGCTGCTGTTCTTTCCTGTGCTCAGCACACCACACTGATGGGACTTTATTTGCCTCTGGCCTTGTGGCATTTATGGTTTGAGCCCTGCCTGGAGCAAAATACACGTTGCGTGAGAGGACATACAGGCTACACTGTACTGGGATTCAGGAGGTGCTGTTTTTGGCTCCACTGGGCATCCAGTTTCCTTCTGTGAACTGTTTAACAACCTGTAAAATAGAAGTAATTATTCTACCTCCCCTGGAGAAGGACATTATTCTGATTGTAGGAGGAGCTGTTGCCTATCACTGTGGCCTCTGCACAGTTGCTTAACTTGGTAGAGGAACTGTTTGTCCTGGCCCTGTCTCCTCGTTTCTATGTATTGTGTTGCTAGAAGGAAGAAAAAAAACCCCAAACCAACCACCCAACTGAAAAAAAAAAAACCCAACCCCAAAACCACCACCACGAAAAACAAAACAAAACAAAACAAAACAAAAAAAAAAAAACAACAACAACAAAAACCCAAGCAAACAACAACCAAAAAAAAAACCAAGCAAACAAAAAAAACCCCAACATGCACAAAAAACCCAAACACAAAACAACAAAAAACCCACTAAACCCCAACTTGTTGCATCAGACCCTTGGAAATCTGCAAACCATAAAATGTTTAAGTGATAATTTTAATGAATCTTCCAGCTTAGCTCTTCCAAAGACCAGAGCCTGTTAACTGTTCTGTCTGCAATTTGCCTGTAATGTCTCATCCAGGTCAGCTGTGAACAAATCCTTGCCCACGCAGACCCAATTCAAGGCCTGGCTGCTCTTGTTGGTGAGTGAATATTACCATGATCTTTAATACCCTGTTCTCTAGAAGCACCTGTAAGTAGAACTGTTACATTGTTGTGCAGGGTATGTGTTGTGGGAGCTTGCGTGATTCCCATCCCGCACTGCGATGTTTTGCTCCATATTGTCCATTGGAATATCCCATGCTGACCCATGGGTTCATCTTCTCACCTTTCTAAACTCATCAGGTTTTTCTGCCATTGCAGCCCCTTAGCCTGTAACTGTCTGTAAGATGTGGACTTCTAAGGTACTTGATTTTTTATAAAAGTTTACCCATCTGCTCAAGCTGTCACATGATCAGTGCATGTTCACTGAAGGAAGGCTTCTGGTCTGCTTGTTGAGGACAAGGTTGTCCTCGTAGTGACCTACGATCCAGTGGCAAGACAATCTTAAATTTATCATCATATATCTCTGTGAATACTAATTTGTCAGCCAGCAGTGCTTGTAAGGGAATTATTAGGGAATTCAAGCTCTTTTGAAGACTTCCTCATAAAATCTCTTGAGCTACTCATTAAAAATAAGTTCTATCTTGGTTGTTATTCAGAAAAACAGGTTCTGAATTACAAAAAAATTACTTAAGGAATTCTTATGGGTTTAATGCATCTTAGGAGGATTGGCAACTAATTCTCTTTTTTTTTTTTTTTGTAAATTATGCATGTCACAATGATAACACCAAGTTAGAAACGTACTAATTCCAAATTACTGCTAAAGATGCTTGGATACTTGGCTGGCAGCTGGAAGAGTTGTTAAAATACTAATGTCTTAGCAAACACTGTCAATCTGCTTTATGTATTCACATCCTACTTCTTCTCTGAGGCAGAGTGGAACTCTGATTCCTTTGTGAAAAGCAAGCTGAAGACAGATTTCTTCCTCCTGCCTGCAGGGAAGCACTTGGTGCCTGTCCCTGTCCCACCGGCTGCATTCACTTGGGACAGTTTAATCATGCAAGAGGCATGATCCACCAGAGCTTTAGGCAGGGGACTGGCTTTCTTCCATACACACCCTGCTGTGTTGTACAGGAAAACACTGTCTTCTTTCTGCATGTGCTGCAGGGCCCCACCTCCTGCAAGGTAGAGTGTAGTGTCATGGGCTGAGATGCTGAACTGGAAGCAGTTGAATGGGGGCAGCTTCAGCGTTGTCCACTGGTTGCTTCCAGGACAGTAATACTCCATCTCATTGACATGAATCCATTCCTCCACCTGCAAAGAACCATACCAACACTCATGTATTGTGTTGTGCCTGTCACATCAGGCTCACTTGGTTCATGATAAAGGAAATCAGTGTCTCAAAATCGATTTAAATACTGTGGGGCTTAAGATGCCAGAGTTTTGATCCACATTTAGCAATCAGAGCCTCAAAAGAAGCTGAATAAAATTCCAGGATGGCACAGCTTTGAAGAAGCTTTCTTCTTGGAAAATCGGAATAGTGAGCTGAACAGAGGGCCACAGGGACCTGCTGGAACTGGCATAGCCCAAGTCCTGCCTGCTCTCCAGACTTTTCACACATGACAAAGGAAATCATCTAAAGTGGCTATATTGCATTGAATTGTGGACAATAACTGAGTGTGTCATCTGGAGGAATTTGATGTCAGCCTTGATGTGCAGTTTCTCTTTTCTATCCCTTCCTCAGTGAGTAATTAAGTGCTCTAAGTCACTCTCATTCTTTCAGAAGAAACTGTACCCCTCAGGCTATAGTGGGGCCAGGCCCTGAGTCTTTATGCTTTCAAATGGGAATTGCTGAATGATCTTTGAAAACTCAGTTCTCTTGGCTTCAGGGAATGGGATTCTCCTAGCGTTAGCCCTTCAGCCCCTGTCAGGTCTCTTCCCAGAACACAATGGGCAGCGCTTTCCCTCCTCTTTCAGAGGTGGGGAATCCAGGTTTTCAGGACTTGAGCCCATCTTTCCTAAAATCTAGACTAGTGTCCTCGCTACAGCCCATTCCTTTACTAGTCTGCCAGTGTTTCACTCCCTCCCAGCTCAAACAAGGAAAATCTGGTGGTCAGTGTGTTTGGGGCAGGGTACATGACAGGTTTTCCTGCGTTAGCAGCCTGCACCTCCACCTGTGTTTCCTCTATTTAAAGAAAATTCTTTTAACAGCCTTTGTACTCCAGCAAATAGAGTGTGATAAGAGGGGAGCTTCTGATGTGCATGACTGTAGTGGCAGGCACATTTTCATAAGCTTATTGGCCTGACTTGCAACTGTACCAGTCCATTAAAGAGGCTGGTACCTATTGGAATAAAAAAGTCAAGGCCTATCAAGAGGGAGACCCCCTTTGGGGTCAGATTCGAGACTATAAGAGCAAATAAACTTACTCCTTTCAGTGTCCTTCCTCCAATGCAAAAGATCTTGTCCCTGACTGTAGCCATCCCATGATCACAGCGGGTGAAAGCCATGGCACTATTGCAAATCCAGCGTCGGAGGCGAGGGAGGTAGCTGTAAGTGTCTCTTAAGGTTTTACCCCCAGAGAAGCCCCCTAGGAGGAGAGCAGAAGTCTTGAAAATCTGTCCATCATCCTACCTGACATCCAGCAAACCTTCTGCAAACATTAGTAGAGCTGATTTTTTTTTTTTCTTTCAATACCTAAGAAGCTCAGGTTTAAAATTTCACACCATCCTGCAGAGCTCATGTCATATGGAATTTAAAACCTGAGCTGCTCAGGTATTTTAAAGAGGAGAGGAAAACAAAACAAAACAAAAATCTAATCAAAACAGTTCCAGCTCTTTCTGTAAATTGGGGGATTTCCAGCTCTTGGGGTATTTCAGATGTAACCAGGAGCAGCTTTCATTAGGGAATCTGCTTCCAGCAGTCACAAAATGGGGATTTGAAGGAAAAGCATTGAAAGGTTTTTAAACACTGGGTCTTCAACAGTAGGTCACTGCCAATCAGCCAGTGCTGTGGTCAACTTTTTGTCTTAGGCACTCATGTGCATATTTCAGGGTGCATTATAAAAAGCTCCTTGCAGAAGGAAAGTGCTGCTGTGAGGAGGGGAAATGTCTACAGTTGCCTGCCTGTCAAATTGCAGCCTGCAGAGCCTTTGCAAACAAGGAAGATGATATTTCAGGTTGGCTGTAGACCCCAGCTCGCCTGGACACAGACACTTTCTCCACTTGGACCTTGGGTTTAAATCCTGTATTGAAGTAATGCTCTTCATTTTTCTGTTTGCTTGGGCAGGGCTGTAGGCTGGCCAGATCAAAGTTGCAGTTACCCCACTAGTTTAGAAGGAAATTAATGCTATAGGTAGGGAAGACCTTATACCCCAGGGGTATAGTGTTACCCAGACTAGATCACTATGGTGTGTTTGAAGCTCTGTGAATCAATTTTGTCCTTGCTCTCTGCTAGGAACTGAGACCAACAGAGGTTAAATGAGCTGCCTGTGGCACCATAGGCTGAGTCAAAAGAGGGACTTGAACAACCTGAGTCTCAGCAATTCCCTGTCTGAACCGTTCATCACCAGGAGCCCTGCTGTCACTGGGGTATAGGTCATGGCAGGACAGCTTGTGTGTTGCCTTCCCTGCTTTTGGGGCCTCAGATGTACAGTCCATCACAGTGTCCTTCATTGCAACTGTGCAACTGAAGTTAATCTGGACTGGATCAGTGTGGTGATCCCAGCTGGCTGTAACTGGTTTATGGAGCAGGGAGCCTGCAGGAATGGCAGACTGGCCCAGGACTTTTAACTCAGAGGCAGTAACACGAACAACACAGTGCTTTTCCTACGAAAAACCAAGTCCAAACTAGTAGCTGCAAAACTAAGTATCCTACAACACTTTCCTGGAGTGTTTAAGCCAATGGCATTCTACTGTCAAACATCCTGTACCACCTACCAGAAATCCCTGTAAAGACTGAGGATCCCTTGTACGGTAAGAGCCTGCATTATACTTCTTTTTGCACAGGTTATCAAAGTAGCACAGCAGCAGTAGTCCCACATCTTCCACTGAGATTAATACCAGGGTTTGATTCCATCCCCAGGTCTATGGCAGCCTGCTCCTGCTTTACCTTTCAGACAGCAATGCTTTGGGATTCAGCCAGGATTGCAGGGTCAAAGGTGAGCAGGGATGTGGATTGCAAGTAGATGGTATCACCTTCAATGTCTTGGAATGAATGCATTAAAGGTGACACCAGAAGAACACAGGAAGGCAGTGAGGCTGTGCTAAAACAGCAGGAAACTGACCCTGGAGCCGTGGGTGCTACTAGTGTGGGTGCAGGCTTAGACTGTGACGTTAAGATGCTAGCAAAAATCAATAAAACTATATGAAAATATGGTGCTTTCTGCCAGCTCTATCACCTGAAATATAGAGGATTCCCTTGTGGGTTGTGCCTGCATGATCAGCAATAGGCATGGGGAAGGGAGCTGTGAACTCCCACTTGTTGTCAGCGGGCTGGTACAGTTCCACCGTGCATGTGAGGGTCCCCAGCAGTGTCCCACCACCCACGGTGACGATGCAGTCGAACAGCACATCTGCATGGAAGCGCGTGCGCCGCTGCAGCATGCTGGCGACCTGGAGCCAGGAGGTGTTGCGGGGATCGAATCGGAAAACCTAGGATCACAGCAGAGGGCTGAGAGTTAGAAGGTGGCGCGTGGCTGGCTTGTGTCTTGTGTGGCTTCAAGAACTGAGAAGCAGTTCCCCAATCTGAGGAAGGTTTCATATTCAGACCTGGATAGGCTCAACTTCCAGTGCCAGGCAGCTGCTACATCAGCACCTCCCAGCAGAGTTAGAGGCTCAGTTAAGGGCTTTCTGGAGGCCTAGGGTGGTCTGGGAATAGGTTGTTCTCTCAGCTCCAGCAAGCAGGAGGTGGGACACCTTGGCTTGATGAAATACCTTTGTTTCAAACACCAGCTAGCATGTCAGCTTAAAACTGTTTCAGTGAGATTTAAACAAGCACATTTGCATCTCTGCTACTGTTTTGAATGTGTATTAAAGAGAGCATCTGAGCTTTGCCTGCTGCTCTTGTCCAGAAGGCAGGAGTGGCTTCCCCTCCCCTTATCCCTGGTAACAATACTGGAGAGGTACAGCACCTCTGCTAAGGCTGGGCTTCCATTCACACCTTGTTCAGCAGTTTTTCAGAAGCTTGTTTTGCCACTCTTGTTAGAAAGCCCAGGTCACTGAGCAAGGGCAGTGTCTGCAGAACCACACTGCGTGGGTGCTGAGCTTGGGCTGTTGCCCTGCTTTTGCAGCATCCTCTGCTCTGCTGCTACTGAGCTGCGTCCTGCCTTCAAGGCAGTGGAAGGGAGTTGCTGTTTACAGTGGCACTGTTGAGCTGTGGTGAAATAAGCCCATCTGGGAGCCTGGGAAAGGAAAACATGCTGGTTTTGCTAGTAAGCTCACTGGAGCCATCTAGGAAAATATAAAATCCTGCACAAGTCTTTTTATTCCTCAGGCAGAAGGGGGAGGTCCTGGGACCTAAAGTAGATTCGCATTTCCAGGGCAAACCTGAGGAAAGAGCAGTTCTCACATGAAGTGGTGAACTTCAGCTATGCCTCCCAAGGATGAGTCCCATGGCAGCAACAATAGTGACAGGGATAGCATTCATGGGGTCGCTTGTTCGACTGACATGGACCTGGCTGAACCTGCACCATGGAAGTTGTGTACAGATTAGGATAGCAATTTACAGTAGAAGCAAGGTGAGTCCAGGGCAGGAGATGATTCCTTCCCAGGCAGTTTGGAAGCTGTATTCCCAAGGGCTTTCAGTACTGCCCAGAGTGCTAAGAAATACGTAGAGGTGTGAGAGCTGAGGTGGGCAAGAGGAATGACTCTCTCCCTCCCTCCCTCACCCAGCCATTTTTCCAAGGCTAAAGGTTTCTTGTGTCTTACCTCATTTGATGGTTGCTTTCCAGTGGGATCAAATTTGCTCTGTCCCCCAATGACAAAGAGGAAGTCATTGATGATGGCAACACAGTGGTTGTACACTGGCATGCAGAGGTCCCCGACCTTGTGCCAGGAGCTGCAGCTCTGGTCTGCAGCCCACATCTCTCTGCACACATGGTTGGTGGTGGTTCTCCCACCAGCTACAAGCAGCACAGTGGAACCAGCACGGAGGCTTGTGCTCTGGGTCTGCAGGACTGGCTGAGCATACAGCTGGGAGTGGTAGTTCAGAGCCTCCTGCACGTACCTGTGGCAGCCTGAATCCAGCCTCATAAGAGGCATTTCCTGGACACATCGCTGCAGATCCTGTAAAGGAATGAGAGGGAATCTTATGTGCCTTAAAATCTCTGCTGCATCTTTCAGCCGTGTGCAGTCATGCTGCAGCCAGCCCATGGCAGCTCTGAAGAGCTCCAGTTCGCTGCATCCCTGTGTGTCAGTCCTGCCCAAAATTTCACAAAGGGTTCCTCGGTCCAGGTCTTTCAAGCGCTGCGGATCAGCCAGGATCTGTTTGCAGTGCTGCCCTACGTAGTACATGGCTTTCTGTCTCAGCTCTGCTGGGCCAAGTTTGTTAACAATATTAAGAACATCCGTGCAGTTCTCATTGTTCAAGCAACCCTCTAGGAAGTGGAAGCACAGCTTGATCACCTCCCGAACCAGGAGGGTTTCTGCAGCTTTGAAGGTCTCTTCAATATTCTGCAATGAGAGGTCTAGTTTGTTGGAGTAAATGAAGTTGAGAACATTCCTCAGCCCAGCAGCACTGACAGCTTTCAGCCGGATATTACTGTCTTGGCTTCCCGCTCTGGTCCAGTTTCCAACAAACAGGATCTTGCAGTAATTACTTGCTGAAGCTAGAACAATCTTGTGGGCTGGAAAGCAAACCCCTTCTGCCTCCAGTGTCACATCGCATAGTGCACTCTGCATGCGAAGGCTGCTGAGCCCATCCAGGAGTTTAGCCAGGTAGGTGTCTGACGCCAGGCTTGCCATGCCGGCCTGCGAGCACAGCAGCATGGCTCTGGAAGCAGCCCTGGGACTCAGCTGCATGTGGTCAGTGCATCTCCTAGGCACTCTTCTGTAGCCAGGACAGGGGTTTCCTGCTGCAGTGGAGCTGAGGCTGTGCTGGCCAAGCACATGGATCTGTCCAAACAGCAGCAGCTGCACCAGTCCCCTCCTCAGCAGCCTCTGCCCAGTGCTTTGCAGGAGCAACGTGCCCTGTGACTTGCAGAGCTGCTTGGGGCTGTTTGCAAGTGGAGCTGTTGGTGCTGGTTATCACACAAACCCCACAGTGTTTGTGGGTTTTGCCCATTGGCTGTGACACTGGCAGCAGTGGACAGCCACCGGCATAGCCACATTCTTCTTCCTCGCTATCTGGTAACTACTCATCTGCACAAAGAGCAGCTCATTCTTCAGCAGCTCCCCCGCAATGCTTTGTTGGGCGCCTGGTTAGGTGCGCTTTCATCTGGGCAAGTCTGCACATGCCGTCTTTCCTTCTTGAACAACAGTCAAACAAAATCCCCTCTGTGACAGGCCACTCTTGGCCCTCTGACTAGATTTTATCGATTCAGACAACAGCTACTTTCAAGGAGGGGGTGGGAAGCTCTCAGCACTTGTGTCCTGTTCAGCTTGAAGCAGTCAGCTAACACCCTGTATGCAGCCTGCTCTTATTGGTGTTAGGGATTGGAGCCTAGGGTTCTCCCAACACCTACTGAACCAGTTGCTTGGCTTTTGGCACAAGCAGAGAGCACCTGTAGTCTCTTTTCTCCCTGTGGATACAGCAGAAGCAAAGGGTATCTACAGCCAGGCTTGAGACCATATGAAAGCTTTGTCATTAAGTTGGGGTTGTAGCCTAATGCTGGTCAGCCCGTGCCCCAGGCTGATGCACTTGTCCAGCTGGGACAGCCACCCCTCTGCTTGCCCTTGGCCATGTGGTTTGGGGGCAAGGTGGTGGGTGCGACAACAGAGAAGGTGCTGACAGGTTGGGTCTGTGCTCTGTTCCCCTGGCAGGGGTGTTCTACAACTCCTCTGGCTTGGCACAGTGCTATGACATATACAAGCTGTACCAGTCCTGCGCTGACCCCACGGGCTGCGGCATTGGACCGGATGCCCAGGCCTGGGACTATCAGGTAAAGTTCTGGAGACAGCAACAGGTTCCAGCTGCTGGTTATACTGTTTCCCCCCACCCCCGCCTTGTGCCAGCTCTTCTACCTCTCTTAGGTTTGCACTGAGATCAACTTAACTTTCAACAGCAACAATGTGACTGATATGTTCCCCGAGATGCCTTTCACAGAGGCCATGCGGGAGCAGTACTGCTGGAGCAAATGGCACGTGAAGCCACGAGCGCACTGGCTGCAGATAAACTTTTGGGGAGGCGGTGAGTTGTGCAGGCTGCTTGTCCCTTGGCACTACCCTGCAGTTGTCTGCCTGTCCCACCTCTGCCCACCTGAGCTCTGTTGGGACAGGCACAGCGCACTAACAGGTCCTGGAAGGAAGTCACAGCCTTGTGCTGACTTGAGCCAAACAGACCTTTCTGTACCTCCTCAAGACAAAAACTGAATACCTAAAAACTGCCAAGAATTTGGTTTATTCTCCTGTGTTTTCTGTTCTTGGCCATGTTTGCTACAGTAGCCAAATGCATTTGGATAAATGGGCAGGAAGGACACCTCTCACATGTCATCTCTCTGAATTTCAGACCTGAAAAGTGCAAGCAACATAATTTTTTCAAATGGAGACTTGGACCCTTGGGCTGGAGGTGGGGTAAGTATGTGCAGCCCTGCACACCCCAGCACAGAGAGCAGCCTTTCCAGGTGATACACACACACCCACACACCCCTTCTTTGAGAGCAGCACTGGTGATTAATCTTTACTACATTTGAGTTTCTGCCGGCAGCTCTTTTACACTAAAGCATTGAGGAGCCTCAGGACATTAATGATAATAGAATCACTTCATTTGAGATGGGGCATTGGGCTCACTGGGACTGTCAGCCCTGCACACAATGTCAGGCATACTGGCGATCTCTTTCCAGGCCTGTCCTCAGTCCTGACCAGCTCGCCTTGCAGTTTTCAGAACAGAAGCCCAGTTCTGCCTGGTCACTTGGTGAGAGTTTCTCTCTGCTCCTTCTTCTTCCAGATAAATAGCAGCCTCAGCCCTTCACTAATTGCATTGACTGTTAAAGGAGGCGCTCATCACCTAGACCTCCGGTAAGTACCAAGCTCTCCTTTGGCTGACTAAATCCTCCTGCCACAGTCCAAAGATCCAGGAGATCCTTTAAAAGGGGTTGGATACAGACTGTCGCAGCCTAACTGTGGAAGAGCAATCTTCTTCCTCAGTACAGGGCTTTTCCAGCCTCCAGGGAAGCCAGGCAGTGCAGAACTCAGCACTAAGCTCACATACTCTCAATGGAACATGTTCTTGCACAGGGATTGGCACAAGTGTGTGATAGCCTGTAGCTGTCAGTCATGTGAAATAGTCCAGTGTCTCTTGGCATTAGCCATCAGCCTTCAGCCCCAGAGCAGAGGGCAGCAGCCACCAATGCAAGGGAGAGCTTGGGGCTCTCCAGCCTGCCTTCTAACCTCCCTGTGGATGCCACGCTGTAAGTTTTTTCCAGGGCATAAATACCAAGTACAAAACAGATAATCTCTGTCCTTCAGTTCCCTGGCTTGGCTTTCCCTGGGCGAAAGGCAAAGAGCTGCCCCCACTGACCAGCTCACCCTGCTCTGCTTTCTCTAGAGGGCACAATCCAGCTGACCCCCCATCGGTCACACAAGTGCGCAAACTTGAAGCGAGCATCATCAACAGCTGGGTGAAAGCTGCAGGGATGGAAAGAGCACAAGAGAAGCACCCGGGGGCTTCAGCTGTGAGCACATCCATCCCCACAGCCTCAGGCCTGCAGGTGAGGCTGCCAAGCTGCCACTAGGATACAAGAAGACAGAAGCCTGCTAAGCTGAGTCTGCACCATTTGAGGAAGTGTTATCTATGCTGGTGGAAATTCACCCTTTTGAAGTGTCTTACCTGCCCCTCATCAAGCATCAAAAGAAAAGCAAAATGCCAAATCCGTGATGGAAGCCCAAGGCACATTGTGCAGCTCTCATGCTGACTTGCTCACAGTGAGGAGGCATTACACATGGTGGGCATGCTAAAAGCTTGCCTGGGAGGCCCAAGAACCACCACTAGCCTGAACAGTCTGGTTGCATGAGGCACCTTAAGGTTAAAGCTAAATTATTTTAGACAAAAAGTAAAGATTAAATGACTAGAGGAGAAGCAGAGGTAGGGTCATTACTTATATAGGTTCACAGGAGTCCACCAGAAACCAGTTACATACAAAAAGACTCCATTAGCCTCATCCAGTGCTGGGGGGTTGGGTAGATTTTTTGTTTGTAACTTGCTCAAGAGATCTTCAGTCCTTGAGCTGGAGGTTTACACCTAGCAGTCATCCTGTTGTACTGCTGTCACTTGAGAGCTGCGCATTAGTGACCAGTAGAGCACAGTTTTGCTCCAGACATCTTCAGATATTTTTAAAATAAATTACAAGTCTGATAAAATGTGTGATATGATTTCATAGCTTGGTAGTATAACCAGAGAAGATAAAACTGCTCAGGTGGAGCAAACACATCTTTGCACATCAACAGGTGGGTTCTTACCTACTGGAATTGGTATGCACCAATAAATACTAGCTTAAGTGTAGAAGTATTAAACCCTGTAATCAATTGGCTGCCTCAGTTGATCCATTTGCAATGATTTTATGACTTAGTGGAGAAGCCTCCCAGATCCCCAAAGGTTTACATTACTTACACAGGCAGTCACAGCATTGCCTCAGCTTCCGTTCCACTGCTCAAACACAAGGCTTTGTGTGCAGTATTTGCACTGCTGGGTCCTCCTGGCCATCACAGGGTGACTGTTCCCAGAGTTACAGTGGCAGTCGCTGATGGGTGTTTCACAATATTTGGGTGCTGACAAAAAGCCTTTTTGCATACAACCTGCTTATCTCTTCCCTCTTCTTACAAAAGACCAAAGGTTCTGCTCCCCCCAGCACTGAGGAGTGCAGGGGGAGGGAAGAGCAGGAAT